TTCCCCATGTTGTTCAAGGGGCGCTAGTCAGAAGTCATAAACCCGTATATGCTCTGTGGAGATCACGCTCAAGGTCTTGATGCAAACCTTGGAAATATCACCGGAATAGCAATCCGGAGGTCTATAGTCAATTTCTTTGTTGAACTTTTAAACATTATTATAATGCACCTAGCTATTTTCCTTTTGTAGTTTATTTGAAACTTTTAAATGTATAAGATTTGTTTGGCTGTGTTGTAGCTAAACCAGTGATGTAGTGCCCTGATGCTGGGCCTTGGCCTTAAGGCTGCCTTAAGGCTGGACTTTAGGGCCTTGGCCTTGGCCTCAAGGCTTGAGGGCAAAAGCCTTGGCCATGGGCGTCGCCAGGATTTTTTCTAGAGGGGGGCAAAAAATATTTTTGCCAAAAAATGCTTGTATTTCTCAACATATTCTCGATTTATCAGTTTTAGAGGGGGGCAGGGACATTTTGCCCCCCCCCCCCCAACTCGTTAAATTTACACCACTTTGTCTTCGCGCTCTCTTTTTTTTTTTTCTTCTTTTTTTTCTTTTTTTTTTTTTTTTTTTTTTTGCTTTTCCGGGGGGGGGGGGGCAAGTGCCCCCTTGCCCCCCCCCCTCGCGACGCCCATTGCCTTGGCCCTGGCCTTGGCCTTGATGGATCATTGCCTTGCAATTTTGAGTCAAGGCTCTTCAAGGCCCATAGATTTTTGCATTTTCCAGATAAATCTGTTTGAAATTTTGCTGTTACCATTTTATATCGTGTTACCATGGAGGAGCCAGCTATGCTTTACACCATTATGTTTCTCAAATGTAATGAACACATAAACATTTCACAAACAAACACACAAAAAACAAAACCAAGACAACAAAGAAAAGAAAAAAGCAGGAGTGTGTACTTCGTGGTCTTTATTCAGTCATTTGACTTTTTGTAAGTGAATGATGGGACTTTTAAGTAAAGCCACACAAAGTTTTAGTGAGCTACTTTTTTTGCTAACTGACGATCAATCTGATTGGTTGTATGTCTCCCTGATAAGTGCTAAAGATTTGCATGTATCTGTTTTAGGTAATGCTAATATTTCTGATATAATTCTCTGACCAACCAAGTGTATATTTTTACGTGTTCCGATTTTTTTTAAGAGATGCAACTTTAACATAACAGTCTCCTTAAGTTCAGTTTAATGAAATTTAATTTGCTGTTGGACATGTGATATCATGTAATTTCTCAATATTTTTGTCAAAAGATGTTCTTTTTATTTTTTTATTTTAAGGAATAAATTGTTTTTTAATTTCAAAGGTTTTCGATATTTTGGGGGTTTCCATTCTTTCTATAATGAGCGATATGAGCTGGTATACTCTTTCAATGGCCTGGATTATGATATAACTTCCAAATAACGCACAATAGATGTAATTAATGACAGACGGCATTGCACTCTTAATGAAGACCGTACTTGTGTGTGATTATTTCCACATGCAGCGTACAGAGGACGACCAATAATGAGATGTACACTACACGGAGCTATTTGCATCATAACAGCGGGGCGATCTATTTACGGACACATGGGGAATCCCCGTCCCCCTTGCGTAAGGTCGGATTTCCCCACAGCAGTTGTAGTAGCTACACTGGCGCCGGCCCTTTGCTTGAAGTTCATTTATCATGCACAACCTGTGCTTCCACAATATTATCAGTCGGTCACATTTATTTTCAGGCGTTGACAAAAAATATATACATATATCGAGGTCAAACACATAGTGTTCGACATAAAGACTCTGACAGTATTTTTTTTACATGAACTATACCGTTAGGGACCATCCAAAATTTGCGATGTTTTTAAATTTTGTCTTGTTTTCGAATTTTTTGATCCACCCACCCATCTCGATTTTCGATCGAAAAATTTTGATTTTCAATTCAATAAAAACACATAACAAATGTCCAGTTCAGTGAAGGCCGAATTCAGCTGCAGTCCGTATACGGTACCCAACAACACGGCCCACTAGTATTCCCGTAGGTAGGCCGGAATCCACCTGGAAACACATAAAACTAGTCCATTATAGAGCTATAAAAATGAGCTCCATGGTGATAATAAGTATCAGCTCGCTCTTAACAAATTAACAATTGTCTCGGCGTAAAGAGGTGTTATTCATGAAGTTTATTAAGAAATTTCAGTCGTTTTGGATAGAAAAAAAATTGAACTCTCAACTCACGGTTTCCAGACTGTGCGCGCTGCCATGTTCATTGCACGCAGATAAAAATACCATGCGGGAGCAGTGAACTAATTCAAGCGAGAATTTCTACGCCAGCTGATTAGCATAAAGGGACCCCACAATTTCTTTTAAAAAAAGGAGACTGTTTGGCTTTAAAAAAGGTGGAATTGTGTAAATATAGCTGAGGATCAACTCCCTGGTTTTGGGGCTTCCATCTGAGAGCAGATTTGATTCGCATTAGCATAAAAAACCCCCAAAGCAACAAAATACTCTTAAAAACGGCAAAATAAAACTTGACAATAAAGTTAAATGGGACACAAACGTGTATTTTCAAGGATTGCATTAAAAAAAATAATACATTTCATGTATGAGCCCTTTAAACCTGCACAAAAGAATGCGTTCGATTACTTCCCCCGCGCTTGCCCGTACTTTCGTCTTGGGTATAAGTGCACATGCGCAATAGCAATAAGGGTACACCCCAGTTAATAGGCCAACAATCCGTCCGCCAAGCTCATGAAGGCATTCGGTAAACCTTCGGACATTTTTTGGAGTAAGCCATTGATGGGGCTACCTGACCTATGATGAGTCAGAAATAGTAAATATTTTGATCAGGTGACACTGGGAACCAGACTAGCTCAGCGCGCGAGTCGGTTACACTGATCTCTATTATACCACGGATCTTCTACACCGTGATTATACTGTCAGTATAACAGAGATCAGTGGGCGATACTGTGTTGGGTCAGGCTCGAGTACTAGTAGTAAGCACGAGAAGTCACGTGAGAGTTAAATCAAACGCAGTCGAGTCAGTCGCGCTTGCACATATATAAAAAATAAATATTTGCTATATATGGGAGATACCGTAATCATTGGGGAAATCCAGCGTGGTGAAATCACACGCTAGGTGGTACGGTCTGGGATTGATCGGACAATCGCACAGTCTATTAGGCTGACTCGTAAATTGACTCTGAAAACCACGAGCAGGAAAACAGAAGAGCGCATAAACCCGCAGCAACAACAGAGGTAAGCTTTAACGTTGAGTTGTAGACTTCTTATCGCAAGGAAGACTCGATTTACCGTCACAGCCACACCCAAAGAAAATTGAAAAAGAATCACAGAAGACCTGGGCTGAGCACGACTGCCCCTGTCGTCAGTGGCGTAGCCAGGAATTTTTCATTGGGGGGGGGGGGGGGGGGGGCCGCTGGGGGGGGGGGCTGCCTGTCGTTATAAAGTAGTCTCCTCTTGAACGACGCGAGTCTCGTACTGGTCGATATTATTGTCAGACCGCCATACTATCCTCAAACGAATCTGCATTCTGTGTAATTTTCCGTGCAATCGAAAAGATACCGAAGACGGATATATGCCACTCAATAAGTCTGCATACATTTGTTTGTACGTGTGAAAATATTTTTTTGTCTACAGCGGCCGCCACTTATTATGTGGCGGCCGCCACATAATAAGAGGCAGCCGCTGTACAAAAACATATTGTCACACGTCGTGAAATCGCCAGTGTAGCAAGTAAAGATCGCAAATATAGAACCTCCTAGCAGAGTCTCTTCATGTTAATCATTTTTTTTTAACCATGCAGCTATATGGGCTTATAACTTTCGCAATCATCCTGCCTGCCTACCAGAGAACCTGAAGTCAAGAGGGACACCGAAAACAGTTTGATTTATAAACAGTAAGTAGTAAAAGTGTTTTTGCTCAATATACTTTGGTTTATCAATTCCAAACATGATCCAAGTTCCCTTTTATAACTAAGCAGCGTAGCCACGGTGTTCTCATCCGTACCGTGCAAAAAGGTAGACAGGCTTTTTTTCACTGGTCACCCGTAACATTAAAATGGTTGTGCTGGACAAGGCTGGATGTTCTGGGTTGAGATTTGGGTTGGTCCAGTGGGTGCTGGGCTAGGATAATAAGTGGCGGCCGCTGTACAAAAAAAATATTTTCACACGTACAAAAAAATATATTCAGACTTATTGAGTGGCACTATCCGTCTTCCGTAAAAAGAGATGGAAATTTCGTTCGCAAAAAAAGTTTGGACACACAAGACACTTACACTTCGTTGTTCAAACGGTTTTTTTTTTACAAAATGTTACTTCAGAACACGATGATGATCTCTTCAATTTTGCTGTTACCCCGCTATGCTTTTCCACGCATACGATGAAATGTTTATCCCGAATGAAAAATCGTCAAATCTTGAAGTCGATGTGCACATGCGCAGTTGGAATACCGAACTGGCTTATTATCACCCTCTGAAATTAGGTTCGACATTGCATTAGGTCTGATTCCATTTCCTGAATTCGAATGCACATCGATGATGCAAGCGCGGCACCATAGGCCAACAAGGCTGCAACTTTCCTTGGGCTAGGCTGCAAGGATTACAATAATCGGTATTTTTCTTACAAATTTTTAAAATTAATAAAATTATTCTCTCTCATGGTGCTTGCAGCAGACATCATGGTGATCATCACAGCGTTAGTCGTTGGAGCAGCCAGTCTAGGCATCATGACCTACGGTCCGGCCTTACTGGGGTTCAAGTCAGCAGGGATAGCAGCCGGCTCAGTGGCTGCCTCCATGATGTCTCAATCGGCCGTGGCAGCCGGTGGCGGTGTAGCAGCCGGAGGAGTAGTGGCTACGCTTCAGTCCGTAGGAGCAGCAGGCTTGGGTGCTGCTGGCTACGCCGCGTCGGGAGCCATCGGTGCTGTGTCCGGTTATCTCTTTGGCCGCAAGTGATGTGGGAATCTACGAAACCAAATAATGCTTCAATCGAAATTCACCAGTCACCTCGCCAGACAATTATCGAAATTATCACTCATTGCGGAAATACTTGACAAGTAGTTAAAGGGTGTGCAAAACTGTGAATCCATCTTATTACTAATCTACAATGGTTATTTACAAAACATCTCGCGAGACAACTCGAGTTTAACTTCCTTTAATGATGTTACAGCCAATATGTGAAATGAATTAGGAAAAATCACACTATTGTTGAAATCAGCTAGTACATGTGAAACCTTTACTAAGTAGACAACATTTGGACTAGAGTTATTAGGGATCTATACGACCTTAATTCGGGGATTACATACTTCTTTCCAGTTGGTAGATCATCATCATTCGAAGATCGTGAAGAATCCCATGGTATCTATCAGTTACCTTGTCTTTTGATTCTAAACCAGATTACAAAGTCAGTACTTGCAAGTTATTTAAGACTAAAATAACCAGAAAATAAAAATCTAAAATTTTTGAAAACTGAAAATAAGTCATTCCCCTTGTTTCAATTAATTTACTTTACGTCTGAAGATAATTGCTCTTGGGAATTAGGCCCTAAAATTTTTATTCGGACTCAAGAATGATTCCAACAGTTTCGACCCCCTGTCGCCAAAAACATCTCTCCTTTTAGTGGAATCTATATATATATAAGAGAGAGTTTAACTGGGCCTCCGAGACGATGTTTGCTCATGAAAGAATCCCAGACCGCGGGCTCCCGCGGCGCCAAAATCACTCCACGTCCGTGGAAAAATGCGGAGGGTGTCTTCCGCCAGGTCGGACACTTCGGGTCGTCCTGATTTTCCCGTACGGACCGGCGATCCGTTTCGTCGATTTTTCGTGACTGCGTTTTGCGCAGGAATTTGCCGTCGTGTGCGCTTTCACGTTGACTGTCTGTCCGCCCCCTGTGCTCGCTTTTTCTTCGTGTCTAGACTGGCGAGGTCAGCGAGGTCAACGTAGGGGTTTCGTTTTCGTGTTCTACTCGGCCGTTCTGCAAAAGAGTTCACCAAACGGTAGCATGGGGTGACCTTGGCAAAATATTTTTTCTCCATGGTGCGTTGCCATCAAGTGTCCCTATTGTTTCCTGTGCTTTGCTTGCCGCCCCTGCGCCGAGTGCAACGAATGCTCAGAAGGACTATACATTAGTATGCCTGGCGCGGTCTGACCAATCGAAAGTCTACACTGCGTAGTATTTATCCCCATTTACATTTAACTCCCCAAATGTTCATCCCCAACACTACGATCTACCCGATCTATGATCGGGTAAATCAGCTTGTATAGGCATAAATGAAATCACGTGCACTGTGACTCTTCCACTGGCTTGCTTAAATAGAAATAAATTGTCACACGTTGAAACAATTTTTGCGTGTTTTGTTTGCCTTGATTTTAAACATTCCATTCTGAAGATGATCTGAATCCAAGTATTATATTTTACCCAAAAGCTGATCTATTTCATGTTTGGGATAATTATGTGAAGGCTAAGATTGTAATTTTGTTGAGCACGCCCATTGGTGGAGGTTTAATCCTTTAAATGACCGAATGGCCATGATTTTAGTCCTCTTGCCAGTGCACCGAAAGAATTTACAAAGCGCCCCACAGCACAGTACGGTACGGAGCCCCTAAAGGGCAATTCAAAAACAGAAACAATTGTTTAGTGCGCACGAGATAAGCACGAGAATTTTTTTTGAATTTTTGAATGTCTTTTTAGGGGCTCCGTACTTTAGGGGCTTTATACCGCAGTAACAACGCTCAGTAAAAAATACAACAGGAACACAACAAACATGTCGAACACATTATCCTTTGACCTGCTGTGCTGTAATTGACCCATCAATTCCAAAGATTCTTCACCAGCTCATTCCTCATCCCGGGTTTTCCCCCAACGTACGCAATGGCGCAGCGTTGGCAACCTCGTTCCCAAGCTTCAACTACATCTTTTCAGGAGCTTGTATTCCTCGCTCGATCGCCGCGGGGACGAGGTTACATTGTGGGTGACATTTCAAGCGCATTTAGTTGCAGTACCCTAATGATGTACATTGTACATAGATCGGTTGAGCCGTTGCAGTGTGTACATTTCATGTCAATCAGACGCTGCATTCACACCTGCATGCAGGGACGGACTTTTATGAATTCATTGCTACTGCCGCTTTGAACGGTAAGCAGGACGTACTTCATTATTAAACGAAGGCAGATTTATGTGAAAATTGTTTTGAAAACGAAACATGTGAACACCAGTGCCCTAGAGTTGTTGAATACAAACTGTTTCTATTCCAAAAAGGATGGGTCCGGTGTAGCGTGAATATCCGACTCCATGAAATGTGGACTCATTGGTAGTAGTGCGCACGCGTGAGTACAATACTATGCTATTTTTAGGATCGTTTGGGGAGAGTGACCTGTCACGTGCGAGGGATGATCCAATAAAAGGGAAAAAGGGGTCCGATTTTCATAGGAGTCGGATTTTCATGTGTCACCGGAAATAAAAACAAATATACAAAAAACAAACAACAACCAATACAATGCGCCGTGAAAATGTCCATATGATAATATAGTATACATAATAATGGTCAGTTTTGAAGAGCGCCCCCATTTGGCATATTGGTACCAACCGCCCCCCCCCTTCCCCGCTCTTTGATTTTACGGAGGGCAAGTGTCCGGAGAAAAAAACATGTCTACATTATGGCGCGGATGTGCGGTTGCCCCCACTTGACATCAACAGCTGGATATGCTGCTTTTGCGTCCTGGAGATGTATATATTTTAATATCTCTCCTTATTTTCAAAGGCTAACTTTCTTTTTGAAAATATTTGATGAAATCGCTAGTGTAGTGAGTAAAGATCGCAAATCTAGAACCACCTAGCAGAGTCTCTTCATAATAATCTTTTTTTTTTAACTAGCAGATATATGCCCATGGGCTTATAACTTTCGCAATCATTCTGCCTGCCTCCTTGATTTATAAACAGTAAGTAGTAGAAGCGTTTTTGCTGAATATACGGTGGTTTATTGATCCCATACATGATAAAAATTCCCTTTTATAACTTAGCAGCGTAGCCAGTGTTCATGATCCGTACCGTGCAAAAAGGTAGACAGGCTTTTTTTCACTGGTCACCCGTAACATTAAAATTGTTGTGCTGGACAAGGCTGGATGCACTGGGTTGAGATTTGGGTTGGTCCAGTATGTGCTGGGCTAGGATAGATTTGGCATAGGTTGGCTGTGCGGGTGGGCATGAGGGCTGTACTGGGCTGTGCTGGGCTAGGCTGGATGTTCTGGGTTGAGATGGGCTTGTCTAGGATGTGCTGGGCTAGGCTGGGCTTTGCAAGGTTGGCTTGGCTGGGTGGGGTTGGGCTGGCTGTGCTGGCTTCGGGTGGGCTGGGCTGAGCCGGGTTAAGCTTGCTGCCCCTGCCATTGGTTGCACAGCATACGGTTTAGAACCGGGATCCTTGGCTGATATATTGATGAAGTTTTCGGAGTTCATTAACGGCTTTACTTTAAGCTTTGGCCTACCGTCTTGGATCGCAGGACATCTTGGATCTGCCTGTCGTTCAATAGCGCACAAAGGATTTACTCCTTTGAGCTTCTTGGTGGTTTTCTGTTTTGGTTTCGTGATCGTCCATGCTATCAAAGCAATCTGTTGTCCGCCAAAAAATAAGAATATACTGCCGTTTTAAAAAAACCCACTGTATTATGTAAAACGTATGAATTTGCGTATGCATAGGATAAATTACTTTGAAGACACTTTTAGGGTTTTTGCTTCATTATTATGTCTCCCAATTTTGGATTGTTTTGTACCGGGGTTTTTCAGGTGATTTCTTACGAGCCTTTCATCAATTTGTAAATCACAAAGGGAACACTGAAATGGTCCATGCGGCAATGCAAAATTTGTTGTTTTTTAAAAATATTTTCTATTTACCAACACTTTCTATTTAAACATTTTTTAACAATTATTATACAATGTAGAAAACGTTCCGTACTTTTCAGGACAAATGCAGTTTTAGTTTCCACAATTGTATCTGGATTGGTGATGAGGTTAAATTGTTTATGTGACGAAGTATCAGGTTGAATAGTTTGTGCAGCCATTTTCTAGTACACAATGTAATTCTCCTCGTCCCAATATGGCATATTTAATATAGTTCACGTATAATAATTTCGTAGTAAGTAACGTGAGTGCAAAACTTATATTATTACCTCCGGTTTTTAACACGAGTTGCAAACATGTCTCATCTTAATCTTAAGCAGCATTTTTAAGGCCAAATATAATTATTCAAAAAGCCTAAACGCATTTCGGGTTTCTTTCTAAACTTACTTTTAAAAATCTTTCAAACTTTTTTATGCAACTTGTCTTTAACATATATTTTTGTATAAAATAATTTAGCTCTGAAAGTTTTTTTTTTTGGTCTCTTCTCCTTTGACTCTTTGTTACCATAGTTTTATGTGCTTGTTCATTAAAACACGTGTTGTTGTTTGGGCGAATTGCAATTACCGTGCATGCTGATTGGACTGTTGCTCAACTCGTTAAAAAAATATAATCAATTTTTGTCAGAAACTATATTTACCCGTTGCTTCGAATATGTTCAAAACATTGAGATTAGCCTTTTGTCCATTAATAATTGGGCATTGGCTGTGGTATAATATACTCTGCATGTTCTGGGGACATTTCCGTGATTATCAATTTGATCGACATTTTCCAATGTGAACACAGCATTCCACATCATTAATCGCTGGGTAGGCCTACGTCTACAGGTCCCTCAGGCTGTACATGTCAGCAAGACTCGTGGGATTTCCCCCTTGCAGTGTATGCAGCAACGCAGATGGAAAATATTTTCAAGATTAATCAAATTCAACACCGTTCGTTATCACCAGTAACGGATCGGGAAGGCGTTAGCGAGTTGCGACCTTCGCTTCAGCCATTGACTAATGTTATAAAATGGGGCCAAAATAGTAAATTGGTTGGAAAATATTTCGACTCAAAGTCTTAGATTAATTTTCAAATTGCTTTATAGAATGCATGGAACATCGTAGATTTGAAGAGTTTTCCAAGGACCCCCTAGCTGGGCATGACATCGGCATGACATCGGCATGACTTCATACAACATGCAACCTATACATCCCATAACGGGAGATTGCTTGCAGTATTGATCCAGAATATCAAACTCCCCATACCTGAAAGCTATAGATCCCGCACCTGATCGTTCATTTCGGGGCATTACAAACTGCCACGACAGGAAAGTTAAATCCCAAGAGTCACCATGCACCCAATCATTGCTTTTGTTTTCAAAATGGAAAGTAGGATTTTCAGGTGTGGATCGTGGATTTTGGGAAAAGGGGTGTCAACGACTACTTTACAGAATGATTGTTGATAATATGAAGTTGGAAGTTTGTTTCAAAGCTTCGGTGTGTATTATGTAGTTATACATGCATGCACATTTTTTGATGCGCAGTCAAGTTGCAAATAAACACGAGGAACACTGCTAAATACAGATGCTGTGCATTGCGCCCAGAAAATTCCAGAGTCAGCACTGCTAACAAGCGTTCCCAGACAGG